TCAAGAAAAATTAATTCTAGGTGTAATATACCGACCTCCAGGCTTGGATCACGATAGAGGGAGACTTCTTTGGGACGAAATTGTTAGGGCTTCTTGACACAATAACATAGTCATAGTAGGGGACTTTAACTTTAGTCAAATTGACTGGAATTCTTTGACCGGTAATCTAGAATCCAGTGACTTTATGGAAACAGTTCAGAACTGTTTTCTGAAGCAGTGTGTAACAGAGCCTACCAGGGGTAATAATTTGTTAGACCTAGTCTTGTCAAATAAGGAAACACTCGTAAATAATCTGGAGATCACTGAAGAGCTTGGTGCAAGTGATCACAAATCCATCACTTTCAGCATTAACTGGGGATACAAGAATAATGATAATACGGTAAAAATCCCAGATTTTCGTTCTGCCGATTACAATGGACTTAGGGAACACCTGTCAAATCTCGATTGGGGTTATCTAGCTAATGATTGTATTGACGATGATCATACTTACGATTATGAAAGGATCTGCATTTATGATTTTTTTCTTAATAATGTACACCGTGCTCAGAGTATATACATTCCCGAGAGAGAAATTAGTTCTAATAATAACGATCCCAAATGAGTTAACAGGAGGCTAAAGCATCTACTAGGGGAGAAAAGGGGAATTTATAGGCGCATCAGAAGAGGAGAGGTTAATCTTACTGACCAATATGTCCAGCTTAAAAGAGAAGTAAAAAAGGGGATTAGAAAGGCTAAACGTGACTATGAAATTAGAGTTGCTAATGAATCAAAGACTAAGGGGTTCTTTCAAGTGTATAGGACGAAGGTGAGGGAAAAAGTGGGACCTCTGAAAATTGGGAATGGACAACTGACGGATAACGAACTAGAAATGTGTTCCTTATTTAATGACTATTTTTTGTCAGTTTTTACACAGGAAGATGTAAATGAGATTCCAGTAATTAACAATTATTTAGTTCATGATGAATTTAAATTAACTAATATTACTGCCACGAGGGACATGGTAATTAAACAGATAGACAAACTGAAACATAAAATAAGTCCCCGGAACCCTATGAGTTCTTTTCTAGGGTCCTTAAGGAATGCAAGGTGGAGCTTAGTCAGCCATTTACGAGTGTATTCAATGCGTCCATCCTTACCAGTGTTGTGCCAGAGTTGTGGAAGATGGCTAATTTGGTTCCTATATTCAAATCAGGGGATAAGTCCACTACTTCTAATTACCGTCCAATAAGCCTGACATCTATAGTGGGCAAGTTATTAGAATCAATTATAGCTGACATTATTAGAAGTCACCTTGAAGAGCATAGATAAATGAATCTCAGCATGGATTCACGAGAAGTCGTTCCTGCCTGACAAACTTGCTGACGTTCTTCAATAGAACATTTGAGGCAGTTGACAGTGATAAAGAATATGATATTGTTTATTTGGATTTTAGTAAAACCTTCGATAGAGTACCTCACAAGAGACTCTTAAGAAAAGTGGCAGCTCATGGTATAGGAGATAAAGTTCTAGCATGGATAGAGGCATGGCTCACCAATAGAAAGCAGAGAATAGTATACAATACCGACAAGATGAAATACCCTCCCCTACCCCCAATGCCTGGTCCTCCCCACGCACTTGGACTACCTCTTCTACTCCTCACACATCAAACACCAACACACAGACTACAAGCACTTCTCCTTCTACACCTACACCCACACTAGACTACAAAACTAACTGTCAACTCGCCACTGCTGCCCACTCTGCGATGGTAATTTCTCAAGCTTACCAATCAGACTGGAGTTTACCTGGAGAGAGTTCCGGGGGTCAACGCCCCCGCGGCCCGGTCTGTGACCAGGCCTCCTGGTGGATCAGAGCCTGATCAACCAGGCTGTTACTGCTGGCTGCACGCAATCCAACGTACGAGCCACAGCCCGGCTGGTCAGGTACTCACATGTCCTTAACCTAATCTTGTCTGGTAACAATCTTCCCTCTTTAATTATCCCTCCTTCCTGCTTCTCTTCTAAGCCTCCTACAACCTCTCCCTCCTCTCTCTCTCTCTCCCCCACTTCCTACTCCCACCAGCTCTCCTCCTCCCCTTACCCTCTTCACTACTTCTACCCCTCCCACCAACACCCCTACTGCTGCTGCTGCTACGACCACCCCTCCCCCACCTCCTTACCCACCTACTCATCCCCAATCAAAGCTTCCACTTCCTCTGCATCCACCTTCGCCCACTCCTCCACCACAACCAAAACTTCATCCAGGTCCAACTCCACCTCCTCCAGACAAAATCCACTCAAACCTAAACCTGACCCAACTTCTGACAGACAGACCAAAGAACATAAAAACAGATCCATCTCTTCCTCCCCTTCCAGAAACGGGTCTGTAACACCTACAAACACACATCCACTGATGGCACCACTATCACGGGCTTTAATCCAAACTCCTCCCCCGACATTAACTTTGCTATGACGAAACCATTAAATCATGTTTAAGGTGATTCAGTTCAACATACGTTCTTTACAATCAGACACCTACTGGCCGAGCTCCTTGAAGGAGAGAGGCCAGATATTGTTTTGCTAAACAGTACCTGCCTCAAAGCCCCTCAACCTATCTGCCATTATGGTTATACTGCACTACAGTCCCCCTATGATCCCCACAATGGGGTTGCCATCCTTGTCAAATCCAACATAAAAGACGAATTTCTCCCAATCCTTTTTATTCACCAACACTGTCTTGCAGTCAGAATACACACCCACCTTGGCCCCTTTATCTTTTTCACCACCTATGCTCGCCCAAACACTATTCTCAACTTACATGACCTTTCCTAAGTCTTCAACTACACCAACACACCAACATACCTACTAGCTGACATGAATGCCAAACACACACAAGTGACAACCAACTTGGTCACCAATTACTCAACTTCACAAACCATAAACACCTAATTCATCTCGGTCCAGACTTCAACACCTTCTACAACCACACCAGCCGGACTGTGGCTCGTACGTTGGTTTGCGTGCAGCCAGCAGTAACAGCCTGGTTGATCAGACTCTGATCCACCAGGAGGCCTGGTCACAGACCGGGCCGCGGGGGCGTTGACCCCCGGAACTCTCTCCAGGTAAACTCCAGGTAAACACTGGCCAAGGCAAACCAGACATCATTCTGGCAAACCGAGCCAGTTCTCTATTTCAACACTACATCTCACCTGGCCCTATTACAGGCTCTGATCACATCCCAGTCATCTTACATATTTCCTCCAATCCAATCCTCATCCCAGCCATACCTTCCTTCTCCTACAAGAACGCTGACTGGGATGCTTTCAAACAACACATAGACAATACTAACCTCACCTATGACTACAACAACAAACCTATCTTTGACATCAATACTCAACTTGATCTCATCCAGGACACCATTACACAAGCAGCCAGCACCGCAGTACCAAAGAAAACTCACACCACTCGTTATTCCTTCAAACCGTCACACAGAACAAGAAGACTAATTATCTGCTACCACAACCGCTTCCTCTAAAACACACATAGATTTAATCAAGTCTGATTAGATCTCACTTACCTTATAAACAACATTATACACAGCCTAGACCAAGACCACAACAATCACTGGTCACAACTCATACAACAAGCAGACAAACAGCATATTAAAAACACTAAAGCCTTAGAGACACAACTCCCACCAACAAATTCAAACACATCACCCACAACAACACACACATCTCAGACCCGCTGGCTGCTACTAACATCTTCAAACACATCTGGGAGAACATCTTCCACTCTCACCCACCTCACCGTAACGTTTTTTGAAACATTCAAAACATAGAAAACTGGAACACTGCACATACACAAGAAACAACATCAGATAGCCACATCCATCTGGACTCTCTTACCTCCTCCCAAGAACTCGACACTCCTTTCACCAACACAGACATTAAAACTCTCCTCAGACACCTTCCTCCCAAGGCTCCTGGTGCCTCTGGCCTACACCATATTATCCTAAAACACCTTCCTGACTCTATCATCACTGCCTACACAAACCTCCTCAATGCCTCCATTGCCTCTGGATACTTCCCTTCCCTCTTCAAAGCTGCTACTGCTATCCTCCTTCCTAAACCCAAAAAAGACCGCTCTGATCCTAGAAACTATCGCCCTATCAGCCTCCTCGAAGCTTTAGGAAAACTCTTCGAAAAACTCATCAACCATCGCCTTCGCAGATACCTGGAACACAACTCTACTTTCTGATGGCCAGTTTGGCTTCAGAACACACAGATCCACACAGGATGCCATTAACATCATTCTCAACTACATCCACATAAACACAAAACAAAGAAACAGGACAGCCCTGGTTGCAAAAGACGTTGAAAAAGCTTTTGACACTGTCTGGCACGAAGGGCTCAAGTACAAACTCTCACTACTCGTAAACTCCTCTGCAATTTCCTAGACGGCCGTACCATGAGAATCAAAATCCAAGGCTGTTACTGTTACTCTGACTACTTCACACTAAATGTTGGAGTACCCCAGGGATCTGTCCTCTCCCCTACCCTCTACATTTTATACACTAACGACATTCCAACACCTGTATACCACAACTCCATCACACTAGCCTATGCAGACGACATTACACAACTTATCACTCACGCCAATATAGATACACTCACACACAAAACACAAAATGAGGTCGACAGGATAGCCATCTGGGAACAAAAATGGAGGATCAAAACCAATGCAGCTAAATCCAGCATTACATATTTTAACTACAGAAAACGTGATCCTCCATTACCTGTCGAGCTCAAAACAGCTGACACCCGCACTTACATCCCCATCACACAATCTGTAACTGTCCTTGGCGTTAATCTTGACTACCTTCTTCGCTTACACGGTCATATTCACTCAAGGCATGCAATAGCTAGTAAGGCCCTTGCCGGCCTCTACAAGCCGAAACATGCCTCCCAACGCACCAAACTACACCTCTACAAATCCCTAATACGTCCTCTGATAACTTACTCTCCTCTAGCCCTCTCTGTTGCAGCAATAACAAACTTACTAAACTGCAGCGTGTCCAGAACAAGGCGTTGCGCTGGGTACTTGATGTCAGATGGGAGGACTTCGCCACAAGCGAGTCTCTTCATGCTCAATTAGATATCCCTTCGCTGAATCTGTACTGGAAGACGCTCAGTGACAGACAGGTAGACAAACTTGAGACACGACATGACTACTGGACCTCTCTCCCTGACGAAGACATTCGCAGACCCACAAACCAACACAACCTTTTCTACTCCTTGCATGATCCTGCTCCTAACCCTATTTACAAATAACCTTGGATTCGCTGACAGGTACCATTCTCTGACCCACTTTTGCCTTAGCTTCTGGGTTAAGACATGGCTCAGTTCTACACTCCTCTCTAGCGCTAAACTTCGCCTGTCTCTTCCTCCCCGCTCACCCCACCGGAGTCCCAACAGAAGAGCCTGAATTTCTCTTCTCAATATCTGTCCCACGATCGCCTCGCTGCTGGGTTAAGCCCTGGCTCTATTTCTACGACTAAGAACACTCCTCTCCAGCGCTATTCTTCGTCTATCCCGTCTTCCCCACTCATCCCATTTGGGATCTTACCTGAACTTGTTCGTTCGTTCGTGCTTTTTGTTAGTGTGACTTTGTAGTCTAAGTCGTACCGAAACGTCGTCGTGAGCTCCTCTCTCCTGTGTGCGGGTTATTTGTGTATTGCTCCAGTCACGATATTGTGCCTTTTTGTTATTTATTGATTTATTGTTATTTATTTATTGTTATTTATTGTTGTTACCAATCCTTGTGGAGTAAAGCCTATAGGGCCAGGAGGCTTACCAAATAATATGGTACACATTAGTATTACATCCATAATGACCATTATGATTATTTTTCCAATTCATTGGAAAGTAGGCTTAATTTTTTTCTTCTTTGCTCTCATTCTAGTTAGAGTCTGAGTTAAATATCCAAATTAGGTTCTAGTGAAAAAATTAATGCAATCATGAAACAACAGTTATTAATAGTTAGTCTTAATTTTATCCGAACTTAACCCACTTATTTCCTTTCCTAACTTCATTTCATCCTCAGTAGGATAATAGAATTGGCACCATTTATTTCTTTGTCACCATTAAAAATTACCGAATATTCAGTAGAACCAAAACGGTGAACCTGGCATTCTTTTTTCAGATCATTGATATAATATCATGCCTCAAGGAATGCATAAATCTAAGAAGCCTCGTGGATGTCAACAATGGCAGGCAAAAAAATGAAAAAATTCAGCTAATGCGAAAAATGACTGAGTCTATGATTCAGTATCTCAAGAAACCCGATAATGGCCAGAGTTCATCAAATGATTTTAGTCGTGATCTTACTGATAACACTGATGTTGATTCTGGCTCCGTCAATGGTAATATAAGCGAGAGGAATGAAGGGAATGAGAGTCTGAGAGAGTTAGCATCGATGTGTGATGTTTCTTCTTGGAAAATTCCAGTTCCAGACCATTCCAGGATTGAAATCATCAAAAGAGGTAGTTATGTTTATCAGAACAAGGATGGCCCTTTTCGTGTTACAAAGAGAAAAAATGCAAAAGGCAATGAACGTCAGCTTTCTAAAGAATGGGTCTACAAACAGATGCTGAATTGTGAGAAAGTTTTGCGATCATGGATGGTATACTCGCCAGTCAGTGGGAAATTATACTGTTACTGCTGTAGATTGTTTACCTCTAGTGTTACAAGTATAACATCAAAGTTTGTGACTGGGTATCAAATATGGTGGAAGCTGAACCCAAAAGTACACAATCATGAAACTTCTGATGAACACCTACGTTGCCTCGAGAATTGGAAAACCATGGCAACCGGTTTAAGGGTGAACAAAACCATAGATGCAGAAATAATTGTTTCAATGGAAATCCAGAAGGAAAGGTGGAAGGAAATATTGTACAGGTTGCTCGAGATTACACTGTTTCTGGCTAAACAGAACTTAGCATTTCGCGGCCACAGGGAGGACGAATTCTCATCAAATAGAGGAAACTTCTTGAGATGGTTGAATTAATAGCTAAGTATGATCCTCTGATAAAAGAGCACCTAATGAGACTGAAGTGCAGCTCAAGTGAACACAGGTCAACAGTTTCGTATCTCTCGCCATCAACTCAAAATGAGTTTTTAAGTGTTCTGGCAAATCTGTCAAATTCTGTCAAACATAACTTGCGTTATGTTTGACAGTACACCAGATGTGACACACACTGACCAAATGTCAGAAGTTATCAGGTACGTGCAAATGGAGGATGGAAGAGTTCAAGTGAAGGAAGTTTTTCTTATTTTTTTTTTCCTTTAAATGGCAAAAATGCTGCTGATATCAGTTCTGATATCCTGAAAAAACTGGAAAGTGATGGACTGGACTTCATGCTGTGCCTTGCTCAGGGATACGACAATGCTGCCACCATGGCTGGGGTCCATGGAGGTGTACAACACATTCTTAAAGAAAAGAACAAGAAGGCAATTTTCAATGGTTGTGTGGACCATTCATTGAACTTGTGTGGTCAACATTCTTTTGCCGAGAATTCATCATGTGTAAAATTTTTGGCAGTCTTGAGTCAGCGTATACATTCTTTGCCTCCTCCACCCATCGAAGGATGTATTAATGGACCATACTGCAATCTCTTTGAAAAGATTATCAACAACAAGATGGCGTTCTCATTACAATGCAGTGAAACCAGTAGCGGAATCTTTCGAGAAATTTATGGCAGCGATTGAAGCTCTTTGCGATCCACGGGAAAATTTGGATACAAGAGGAGCAGCACAAGGTCTTCTCCTGCTGTGTGTGATTTCACATTTGTGTGTTATCTGTATTTCTTGTGTAACGTACTTCGGGAGGCTCAGCTTGTACAGCAGTACTTGCACACTAAGGATTTAACTCTTGACAAAGTGGTGGTGGAACTAGAGGCACTGCGATTATTTGTGAATGAAGGGCGAGATCGCATAGTGGAAAATTCAATATGAAATGTGAGAAGTATGGATTTCCCCTGCCATGGACGGCAGGGGAGCAGGCAAGAGATTCTTGACTCACTTTACAGGAAGAAAACAAGAGGACGATGTTGGAGTGCATTGATCATTTTCATAATGAACTCGAGATGCGATCAAAAGCAATCAAGGATGTGGCAGCCATGTTTGTGGTCATTCAAACAAAGAATCTTGTACAAGCTACTGAAGAAGTATTGGAGGTGATGCTTCAAGATTCACAGTCTTCTATAATGAAATATGCAAGAATGAGCTCATGTGTGAGGGTGTGTGTGTGAGGGTGTGTGTGTGTGTGGGTGTTGGTGTGTGTGTGTGTGGGTGTGTGTGTGTGGGTGTGCGTCCTTGTGTGTATGCATATATTTGTACGCTCGTGTGCACATGTCCGTGCGTGCGCCCTGGTGTGTGTATGTGTGCGCGCGCGCGCTAGTGTGGGTGTATGATCCACTTAATATTTGTATTTATAACTCATTACAATTGTGACAAGGTGTGGACGTATCAGTGGTTCATTACTTTGTAATTTGCTCATGACTGTAACCATGTATAGGAGTGAAGCTGATTCATTACCTCTGTAACTTGCCATGATTAGTGACCAGATCTACCAGGAGTTCATTACCTTTGTAACTAGTTCAGCTATCATAACTTTGGGGTCCAGTCACTGGACCCATTATGTACCTTTGTAATCTTTTGACTACCGCCCACAGGATGGGTATGGGGTGCATAAAGATATTAAACTAAAGTGTGTGTGTGTGTGTGTGTGTGTGTGTGTGTGTGTGTGTGTGTGTGTGTGTGTGTGTGTGTGTGTGTGTGTGTGTGTGTGTGTGTGTGTGACTCAACAATCAATATTTGCACCAATAACTCATTACAGTTGTGACCGGGTGTGGAAGTGTGAATTGCTCATTACTCTATAATTTGTTCATGATTGTAGCCAAAGTATAAACGTAAGTAACCATTCTACAGAATTCATTACCTTTGTAACTTGTGAGCTCATTGCCTTTGTACCTAGTTCAGCTATCAAAACTTTGGGGGCCCAGTCCCTGGACCCATTACGTACCTCTGTAATCTGTAAATACCTTTGTAACTTGTCATGATTGTGACCAGACTTACCTGGAGTTCATTACCTTTGTAAATTGTGAGTTCATTACCTTGGTAAATTGTGAGTTCATTACCTTTGTAAATTGTGAGTTCATTACCTTTGTAAATTGTGAGTTCATTACCTCTGTAACTTGCTCAGCTATCAAAACTTTGGAGTCCAGTCCCTGGACCAATTATGTACCTCTGTAATCTTTTGACTACAGCCCACAGGATGGGTATGGGGTGCATAATAAACATATTAAACTAACTAACTTGAAATACCAAGACTAAGGCAGCACCTGCAAGCTGCTGATGTTGATCTTGAAAAAGTTAAGCACTGAACTGCACTGGATGTACTAACATTCACAGCTAAATGGAATTTCATTGAATCTCTTCCAACTCTGACACTCTGCCTGAGGTTGTTCCTTGTGTGTTTCTGTGGCTTCTTGAGAAAGGAGTTTCTCCAAGTTGAAGCTGATTGAAAACTGTTTACGGTCCACAATGAGTCGATCCAGAATCTCTGACATAGCAATGTTATCCATAGAAAATGGGTCAGTTGACAGCATTAATTTTGATGAGGTGATAGATGATTTTGCAGGATTGAAGGCAAGGAAATGTATGATCTGATTCACTGAGATGTTACCTGTACTCAAGGTCAAATGTAAGATCAGATTCACTGAGATGTTACCTGCACTTAAGGTCAAATGTAAGATCAGATTCACTGAGATGTTACCTGTACTCAAGGTCAAATGTAAGATCAGATTCACTGAGATGTTACCTGTACTCAAGGTCAAATGTAAGATCAGATTCACTGAGATGTTACCTGTACTCAAGGTCAAATGTAAGATCAGATTCACTGAGATGTTACCTGCACTCAAGGTCAAATGTAAGATCAGATTCACTGAGATGTTACCCGTACTCAAGGTCAAATGTAAGATCAGATTCACTGAGATGTTACCTGCACTCAAGGTCAAATGTAAGATCAGATTCACTGAGATGTTACCTGCACTCAAGGTCAAATGTAAGATCAGATTCACTGAGAT